TTCACACGGGGAGATGTTTCTGACATCACCTAACTTCTCTGTCTTCTCCCTTCTGTGTCTCAGGGAACGGCAGATGAAAGAGCGCCCCTCATACGAACCTAACCATCGCCAGAGCTTGCTGCAGGAGCCCTATGAGCTGTCCCAACCTGGTCCCTGACGTGGGGAAGCCCTCTGCATCCTCACATGCGTGTTGCCTGCTGGGATGAGGGAAAAGACACTGTGCTGGCAGGTGTTGGGGCATTCTGGCCAGAGGTTACTGAACAGGCTGACATGCCTGGCCATTATGCTTTAGAAAATCATGTGGTCTCTGAAGTTGTTTTAAATGTGTCTAGCAAGTATTTAATAAACCCTTGTATAGTCATTTTTTTGTGGTTGGGTACCCGTAGCTCCAGTACTTTGTGATCTCTGTTGTGGATTTAAGAAGTCTCCACGTCACTTGCTAATGCTACTTGGCCTAACCTTGTCCAGTATGCTTTAGTCACCAAACTTTGTGCTCAAAATACATACACACTATTTTATGTTGCATTCCTCTATTTTACTCCTCAAACAGAAGTAAATGAGAGTTCGGAACCCAGGGTAAAATGGTAGCCTCATCCCATACATCATTCAAATGCATCAGACTTCTACTTTTAAAACATTACATGTTGCACGGGATGTAAACAAAACATCTACATGTTGCATTTTGTGCTAATTTTCAGTTCATAATTCCTCCAGGAAAACTCAGTCTTCCGAATACTTTTATATTGTGTAGGAATCATGCAGGGGAGGGGTTGGGGGGGGGATGATACCCATGAATTGATAGTGATAAGCTCCTAAGGATTTTTAACTTGTACTTTTGTGAACGAAGAGAATGCATAAATAATGGTGGTGAGGTAAAGTGCAGATATTTCATATAGAGTAGAACTGAATACTAGTTATGACACTTATGAATAGCTTGACACTTATGAATAGCTAACTGGGTTTTTTTAGTCAAAATCATCTGTATGTGGAAAGATGCTTCTGGAGAATGTGATCAGTAACTGATTTTCTTTCCCTGTTCACCTCTGCCAAATATAATACTGAATTAACCTATGATTGTTTATTTGTGAAATTATGAATATAGGAAATCTACCCACCCACAGCCTAAGTTACACACATTTTAGGAAGTCTGATTAGACTAAAGAGACATTTCTTCTGGTGTAGGCTGCTTCTTCTTGGTAACTTTGAAATCATTTTTGTCAGTTATTTTCTCAGATTCAGTTCCTTGCAGTGTCTCGTGGCTGTCACTCACTGAGAGAGAAACATGTGCATGCCCTACACTTCCTGGTACATTTTGCTGACAGAAT